TTAGGTCCTCGTTTATCAAAGTATTCATATAATCATATATTTATTCCTTTAGTTTTGAGCGGGTTTTATGTGGCAGGTAACTGTTTAGTCTAGATGTACTACAGAAGATTCAGACAATGAGTGACGGTGCAGCCACCTAACGCAAGCTACGGGGAAAGCACAACAGCTGGCCTGTCCAGAGAGGACACTGACTTTCTTCATTTGGGAGCAGAAACACGGTTCAACACAGTCTGGACATGAGTCTCACTGTTTCACAGTTCTTGGGCTTGTCACAACAAGACTCTTGTTATATGTCTATAGCTCTTAAAACTCCTTTTTAACTTAAATTGATGCTTGAAAACAGACAGATCAAGACCATCAATTTTAATATATTATTGCTTTTGGTTGAAAAAAATTTTGGTCTTTATTCTTATTATAATTCAGTAATAGTTTTAAATATGATAGTTGCATTTTTGGAAATCACTTCATTGTGTATCAATCTAAAATAATAAGAATATTGGAAAGATTTTTATTTATATTATGTCTTTTATGAGTCTGAACTGTGTTACAAGACCCTATACCAAATAAATATTTTTAAAAATTTTTTTAAAAAAGATATTTTGTCTTTGTAAAAATGGCTTTATTTTTAAAATTAATTTTGTTGGTACATTTTAGATATTTATTGCAATCACATTCATTATAAGGAATTTGTATCTGCACATAATATATCTTGATTCTTCTTTCCCCAATCCTCTCCCTTCAGCACCTCCTCCCCTCCTTTTTTTCTTTTTGGTGGAACCAGGGATTGAACTCAGGCCCTTGCACTTGCCAGAGAAGCGCTTATTCTACTGAGCCATCTCCCTGGCCCCTCCCCTCCTTATTTACAAAAGCTTTGACTTCAATTTTTCTTCTTTCTTTTTTTTTCTGTTCCCTTTGTTCCACGTTCTCTCCTCTCCCTTATTCCCCTTCCCATTTTAATTTTTCCCACTTCCCAATATTTGTTATTATTTTAAATCCTTATTTACCCTTTCAGTTTCTTACACAAGAGGATGCTGTATTTAAAAGTGTATCCCATGTATTTCCACAGTGCCTGCATCAGTCTCCACTCCCACCAGCAGGGGAGAAGGGTTCCTTTCTTCCCACGGCATTTGTTCTTGCTTGAGTTCTTGATGATGGTCATTTTTTCTGGAGTGAGATGCAATCTCACTGTTACTTTTATTTACATCTCTCAAATGACCAGCTACATGAACATGTTTCCATATATCTATTTGTTCGTCATACATTTTCATCTGAGAAGTGTCCATCCACTTCAGATGCCCAGTTTTGGACTCAGTCTTTGACTGTGGGGGGTCTGATTTTCTTCAGTTCTTTATTCTATATATTAATCCTTTATCTGAGGATCAGCTGGCAATTCTTTCCCTCTCTGTGTATTGTCTCTTAACTCTGCTAGTGGTTTGTGTGTGCAAAAGCATTTCATTTAACTATTTTTGCAAAAGCTTATTAATATGATAAGGTCCTACTTGTTGATTATTGTATTTCCTGTATAACCAGGATTTTGTTCATAAAAGTTTTTGCTTCCACCTATGTCTTCCAGAATTCTAACTGTTCTACCTTCTACCAGATTGTTTCTGCTTTAATATATAGATCTTCATTCCATTCTGATTTTACTTTAGCATGTGGTGAAAGATACGGTCCTAGGTTTAATCTTCCACATGTGGAAAGCCAGTTTTCTGAGCACCATGTATTAAAGAGGTTATCCTTCTTCCAGTGAAGGAATTGGGCCCCTTTGTCAAAGAAAAGGTGGCTGAGCATGTTTGCAGTTATTTCTGTATCTTCTGATCTCTGGTTGTTTGGTGGTTCATTTGTTTTTGTCAGTACCATGCTGTTTTTATCACAGTAGCTTTGTAGTAAATATCAAGCTGGGGATTATGTTGCCTCTGCCTTGACTTTGTTGTTCATAATTGCCTTTGCTGTTCTATGTCTCTTCTGCTTCCAAATGAATTTTAAGATTGCTTTTTCCATTTGAGGAGTATTGATGTTATAAATTTCCTAAACTTTATGGAGAATTCAGCAGTGAATTCATCAGATCTTGAGCTTTTTTTAGTTGGTAGGGGTTTTTTTGTTTGTTTGTTTTGTTGCTTTTTTTAAATTTAAAGAAAAAAATTATTGAAGGTTTGAAAAACAATTCCTAAAAGATTTACTTTTCCAGAAAGCTATAGCTACACAATGCATTGCATTATCATGCTAAATGTACATTAGACACCAATACAAATACCATGAAACAATTCACCATCCTTCAACAACTTGAGCGAAAGTAAATGCCTAAGGAACAACATGGATGGCTTGCAAAGGAAGGGCTCTTTAAGCACCATTAGAGAGAGAGAGAGAGAGAGAGAGAGAGAGAGAGAGAGAGAGAGAGAGAGAGAACAAATGGATGTGTGTGTTCAGTTATATACTCAGAATTGGACCTTTGGCACTAGGAGCCAGAGCATTTTGTCATATAGCATTAACATGTATTATAAAAGTGCCTCGTGTCAAAGGAATAGAACCATCAGCATTTAAAAGCAGCTTTGTCAACTAGGCAATAAAACACTCCACCATGTCTCTCGTCCATCACTGGATACACTGCTAGCGACTTTGAAATGAAAAAAGAGAAGAAGAAAAGGAAGAAGGATCTGTAACCCCTTTTATTTTCCATTTAAAATCAACAAAACAAACATCAACTCTATTATATACTAATATCTTCAAAGTACATCATTTGTACAAGGGAAAGACTAGGAACAAAAACATGTCAACAGAGATCTAAACACCACTGAGCACGCCTCACGCTGTGCTCCCGTGGTACTCAGGAGGGACCGCTTCATAATCACTGGCACTAAATAAAGTTGCTGAATTCCTCACCAGATACTTGAGGAAATCATGAGGATAGTTCAGTAATAAAGCAAGGTTCTTCTTATCCATAGTTCAGTAATAAAGCAAGGTTCTTCTTAGCCACAAGTGTATAGGCCAACATGGCTCCCATTCATACAAGTAATTGCAGTAGATGTGGTGCTCCACACACCTGGGACATGGGTGTGTCAGGGTGATCGGCAAGGGGCTCAGCGGACTGTGGTCTCTCAGAGTTGTAGAGGAGCTGAGTGCCCAGCATCACGCTGAAGTATTCTTTCATCCCTGCTACAGCCTCATGAACAGCGTACTCCTTATCTGTTTTTCCTCAAGATTTCTTATGATTTGCATAGTACTCTAGAATGGCGTCCACATTCTTCTTGGCAGGAAGATAAAAGAGCTGTTTCTGTCTGGTAATTGGGTCACAGTCACCAACAAGCCATGGCTTTAGCTCTTCAGGGATCTACTTTAGCTTCAACTCTGTTCATAAATGTTACTTCACTTTCAACAGCGGGCTCAACCCAGGCCCTTGTCTTCTGAGGAGGCTGAGCTATCTCCTGGTACTGCCACCATCTCCACTACCAGGGCTTTTTTGTTTGTGCTTTTTAGTTTTCACGTCAACATTTTTCTGTTGCAGACCAGGCAGCTTCTTTCCTGCAGCGGCCCCTCTCACCCTCCCTCTGCATATGGCTCCTGACTGGCCTTCTGAAGTTCCCCCTGTGTCTGCAGATTGCTGCCCACATACCTGAGCACTCTGCTTTCTGGAGCCCACTCATCCCAATTTTATTCCAACCACTGTAGTGTATAAAGAATTTTACTTGTTTGTCCTTTGTGGCAAGCTTTACACACTTTGCTTCGTTAAGAAGAGGGCCATGGAAGCACAGCACTCGTCCACCCTCCTGGAACCTGGGCTTCGGGTCCTGCTTGGGCACCGTGTATAAGTGATCTGCCACCTCCTTCTCCCACTGCCCCTGACTGCCGCCCTGTGCCTACCACCCCACCGAGCTCCTGTCAGACACGTCAGGCACAGCCACTCTACATCCTGGGCCCGATTTGCCAGCACCTGCAGGCTTCGCTGGTTTTTGATTTTTTTTCTTTTAATTACCTCAATTTCGTTACTTTTTGCTAATTTGTTCAGAAGTTTTATGTTTTCTTGGTTCAGTTTGTGTAATTTTCATGTGCCTATGAATCTTTCCATTTCTTATAAGATTTCCCAATTTTTTGGAGTACAGTTTTACATAGTAGTTACTGTTTTCTAGATTCTAGCAGTGTTCATTAGGATTTGGTATCTTTATTTGTACTTATGTACTTATGTTGCTGTGAATCTTTTCCCTCTTTCTTTAGTATTTATCTGTTTTTAGTCTTTCAAAAGAAATCAGCTCTTTGGTTCATTGATTCTTTGCATTACTTTGTTTAGCCTTTTATTAATCCCCACCCTGATCTGGATGACTTTGCCCCTTCTACTAATTTTCAGTTTAGATTTAGCATTTTTTAGTATTTTGAGCTCTATCATTAAGTTCTTTGAGCTCACTCTGTTTTTCTAATGTATCATTGACTGCAGTAAGCCTTCTATCCCTGACACCACATGTGGCCTCCGCCCCGCCCCGCCCCCAGAGACCCAGTGTGGTGGCCCACACCTGTAATCCCAGCACTGGGGAGGCTGAGACAGGAAGATCAGGATGAGTCCAAGCTGGGTAGTGACACCTTGTACAAACACATTAAAAAGAAAAAAAAAAAAAAAAAAAGCCTACACAGTTAAAAAAAACTGATGATTTTACAGAAAGAGAAATGAAACTTTGTGGGCTTTTATCTCACATTTCAGTGAACTCTAGACTTTGAGGAGAATGAAAGCGCTCTGTAGTTAGAGAGATGCATCTAAGGATTATGATCACAGTACTTTATTTATTTTTTTGTTTTGTTTTTAACTTTAGTTTTCCCCATAATTTTATTGATAAACAAATATCAATGAGACAGTTTCAAATCAAATTGGTAGGACAGTTTCAATAATTAACGCATTGTATACATTCTTCCTAGTGGTTAATTGCTGTACAAGATGCGGACATGAATGATCACAGTACTTTAAAAAAATAAAATAATCTCTGCTGACGTTCAGCTCTCTCTGTTTTAAATTACAGCACCGTATGAAATATGCCCGGAGGATTATCTGATGTCTATGGTGTGGAAAAGGACTCCAGCAGGCGACTTGGCGTTTAATCAGTGCCCACTGAATGCCACAGGTACGGTGAAATGCCAGCCCCAGCTCACGCGGCAGTCCCTGCCCAGGAAGAGCAGCCTGCATTTGCTTATGAAATCATGCTCTCCCTGTATCCATAAATATCTCTGTCCAGTAAGCAATCACTTAAATAATTTTAATCAAGCACTTCAGAAATGGAACCGGTGAAAAGACCAGAAAATAAAGTTGATAGCAGAGCTTTCTCTGGGTGATTCATCCGCATTATAAAAATAGTCGAAACAACAACTTCATGTGCATATAGTTTTCAAAGAAAAACAAATGGATGAGCCCAGGTTTTAGCCTGCTCTCCACTACGTGGCTCCACCAGGATCTTGCTACAGTCTCTGTCCTTTGTGGCCCGCAGGCACCACCAGCCGACGCTGTTCTCTCGGTCTCCACGGCGTGGCCTTCTGGGAGCAGCCGAGCTTCGCAAGATGCACATCCAACGAGTACAGACACTTGCAGCATTCAGTAGGTGCAAAGCCAGCTTTAGTACTTGCTCTGTCTATTTTCTGCTAATGATTGCCGTGTGCGAATTTACCTTTCTGCAGTACTATCAATTCAGTAAATTCACTGAAAAGAAAGACGCCTAGGGAAAAAGAAGTGGGAGAGAAAGCTAATTTCTGTAAGTCAGAGCTGCATTGCTTTGTTCCTTCTTTAGTTTTTTATGGATCTTGCTATTTACATGAAAGAATTTCTTGTCCAGTGGAGGAAAAGCCTGAGTAAAATCTGTTTTATCTGTAAGAGGGATACTGCATATCGTAATTGTTCTGGTCAATTGTTATGTATTACAAAATACCGTATATCTAAAAATTCAATTCTTTAGCGATTCACCAGTTGGGAAAGGATAATGCTGTGTGACTTGGTTATCAAACTTCATGGTGTAGCTGGAGATGAAGATATGGAAAAAAGATAATTATTGTGCCAGACAAACTTCATCACAAAAGAGTACTTGGCTGTACGTTCCAAAAGTTGCCACTTTTTGCCTTACGCATAATTGAATTATTCATAGAGCACAATGTATGAATATTCTGAGCAAAATTTCATTTTCTGTGCTAGTTTACAAGTCATTGTCATTATCAGAAAAGGTTGGCGTGTCGGATTGGCAGTCAACAGGGCCTCAGCTGGAATGAGTATAAACAATGTGAGGCATAAAACAAATATAGCATGAGCCCCCAAAATGCTGAGCGCTACATGAATGAAATTATATGCTTTCTTCTAATATTCCTTTCTGTCAAAATATATATACATTTTTAAAACCCTGAAATATATTCTCAGTTGTGGATGAAAAGTAGTAGTACCAGTTCTTATCAGTTAAGGAAATTAGTAATTCTTTTACAGAAAAACAAAGATCCATGTTATAAAATTGAACACCACTCTTATATATTTCACGCCAAATCAGTAGCTGATTGATGATTAAATATACAGTCTAATTTCTGTCATAGTGTTCTCATACAAACACATATGCAGTATCAGTAATTGAACATACACAGCTTCAGTTACATAAAATATTTGCATGTGAGTTATTTATATATGGAATTTATATTTATGTAAGTGTATATATTTTATTTAAGTATGGAAATATATATATATATATATATCATGGCCAAATACTTATAAGAACATTTACTAATTTGATATATAAAGATGTTAGATAGCATTCCATGTGCAGATATTTTAAAGACAGTAATTTTACTATAAAATATAAGCACATATATAATCTACACATCCATGTGTGTAGACGTGAATATGCATATACATAATGAAAAGATACATGATGGAGGAGTTTTTTATATTAAAGTGTATCAGAAATCCACTTTATTTAATAGAATGACCCAGTAACATATTACAATGAAAAGTAGGAGTTTAAAATGTACTTGCCAAACAAATTGCCTATGAGTTAAAATGTCTACATTGAATTAAGATATTTTAGGCAGCATACTAACAATTGTAGGCCATTCAGTACCTGCTGATACGTTGGAGCCATAGCTGAATAAATTATCTCCCCAAGTGTACTGATCTACCTACCACTCAAAATTTAGTTTTATAATATACAACATAAGAATATGAAATGTAAAACTGTGTCCATATCTATCAATAACTCAGAACAATTTCAAAATTGTTTATAAGCAAAAGTTTCTTGTGAATCTGATTTTAATGGATTTTATTTTCCCTAATTTTAGACCTTATACTTTTTTAACCTAATTATATTGCATTCAATTCTTATTTAGCCCTGGAGGTAAAGTAAGTGAACAACAAATCAATCTTTATGGATTTGTTAAGAATGAACATGGTCAGATCCTGCAGACGCACATACTTACTGTCCACGTACAGGTTGTGCACAGCACTATTCGGTCAGCGCAGGCCATCTGCCAGTGGAGACAGCCGTACTCCGTGAAGTAAAGGCTGAAATATCAGAATGTGAATGCTATAGAAAATAACTCAGTCAACTAACAGCCAATGTGCATTTGCCTTTGTTGACTTGGTTCCAAAACTCGTTTGTCATCTTATAAACTACAAAGCATACAAAAACAGTGATTGAACGATAAAGGTGGATGCTCACGTGTATAAGGAGCAGTACAGGAAAAGATGTGGAGCCAAGAAAGACAGGGTGGTAGTATTTACAGCAAGGGGGAGTATTTTAAAGGGGCTGGTGGCAGTGTGGCTTTTGGCGTGCTGATTTTTAAATCGGACATTCGCTGTCTGCCTCACTTGCCCCTCCTGCATGAAACACTTGTAGCACTTTCTGTTGAATAAAAACATTATGTTTGTCCTCATCCACTGAATTCACTGGATCTGGAGTCTTGTAACGTCTGCTCTTCCTTCCGTGAGCCCGGAAGGCAGTGTTTTAAACTTAGTGTGGCACATGGGTGTTCACAGCAGCGCAGATAAAGACACTAAGGAGCCCGTCCAGAGCTGGTGTGAAAGTGACAGGGAGGACAAGACAAGTTTGCGCCAAGTGAGGGGACGATTTTGAGGGGATCATAGCAGTGTCCTTTACTGTAGTAAGTTTTATTACATGAAACCATCGCCATATTTCTGTTCATATATTGAACCCCATTATTGCACCAAGTACCAGGCACTTGTGGGCACATGCATAATCTAGCTCCAACAACTTCCAAGGAGGGCATTTTTGTCTCACAAGGAAACTGAGGTCTGGGGGGAGATCCGGGCAAGTGAAGCGCAGAGGGACAGCGACACCGCGGGCAGCACTGTACCAAAGTCTTTCTGGAGCCCACGCAGCTTCCTGAGCTCTGGATTTGAAATCCTCAGCCCTGGACCCTGGGTTGGGCGCAGGGTTCTCTCACTCATAGGTGGGTAAATCTGTTACAGAATCAGAGCGGTGTCTTCACTCACTGTTTCCTGAAGGGAAAGGCCTGTATGTAATGGGGGACGATTAATGTCTTTGTGGACCAAAGACCCGAACTGAAAAAAGTCATCTCCCTAAAAATAAAATTTTAGAACTTCACATATTGCATCCTGACCATGCATTTGGAGAAATATAGGTAAATGAGGCCCTTAGAAAGGGAAGGGATGGGCTGGTGAGATGGCTCAGTGGTCTAAAGCACCTACTTAGAACAAGCTAGCACAGGGACCACGGTTCAATCCCCCAGCACCAGCCCCGCCCCCTGGTGGGCTGAGCTGGCCACACACACACACACACACACACACACATAAATAAATAAATAAATTAATTAAGAAGGGAAAAGGAAGAGGATACGGCTGCTGTCAGCACAGGGCACAGGAAGTGTGTTCATGCACACATGCAAAAATACGCACCTACTTGTGCGTGCTCACACCCCCAAAATGAATTGTGATCTTGCCTCTCGCTCCGTGTATGTACATAGACACATAGATGCAAAATATGATGCGTGCATGTTGCGATATATGTTGGCAAGAGAGAAAGTTTGAGATGAGATTCCTTCCACAGTCGTTGACTGTGTTCTACAAACTGTTACAAACCAGCTGAGTTAGACAGAAATGGAGTCATTAGTCAACTTAAATTAAAATAAAATCAATAGTCTGGCATACTGGATATGCAGGTTGCATTACTTGAAGACAAGAACTGTATATCATAAATACTTGTACACTAATGACTGCTACTTTGTCTTAAATCAAAAGTAGGGTACTGGCAGCTACAAAGTCCACGATGTGGATATGACAAACTTATTATTCATGACTTTTAACCATATGAAAGTAATAAGGAATATTCACTCTGCACAATTTTCCCAGCCCTAAAAGAGCTAGACATGCATGGTGTTTAATGATTCCACATTACAAAATTTTTTGGTCATTGTAGAACAATTTGAATAGAATAATACCTCTGAAGTTTGTGTGCAAACCTTGCAAGAACAAAGTTGAGGCGAGGGAGATAGCTCAGTGGTCTAAGCGCCTGCCTGGCAAGCACAAGGACCCAAGTTCGATTCCTGGTACCCACATGCTGTGCTGGCCCCAGAACCCTGGGCGTGCTGTACCAGCCATCTACACTGGGCATGGTCGTGCACACCTGCAATCCCGGCTCTGGAGAGGCTGAAACAGGAGGAGCACTATGAGTCCGAGCTGCAGAGCAAGACCCTATATCAAAACAGTATCAACAGGGGCCGGGGAGATGGCTCAGTGGAATAAGCGCTTCCCTGGCAAGCGCAAGGGCCTGAGTTCAATCCCTGGTTCCGAAAAAAAAAAAAAAAAAAAAACAGTATCAACAAAAAAAGAATGAGGTTAAACATTATGATCCAAATATTTTTTAAAACGTGATAAAAGAGGCAACAAAATAGCTCAGAGGACAAGTGCCTGCCCCTGGGCACCCGGAGCAGGCCACTGAGACTAGGCATGGTAACGCATGCCTGTAATCCCAGAGCTGGGGAGGCTGAAAGCAGGAGGATCTGTCTGACCTGCTTAGTGAGACCTTGTACAAAATACATAAAAAAGTGACAAAGACATGCATATAGTTAAATATCATTGAGAATATAGGAACAAAGTGTAAATGTATACAATTTTCTATATGTTAATGTTTCAACTGATGCTTTGAGGCAGTTTTTTCAATTGTACACCAAATAAAGTAAAAATGATTTCAGGCCCTACTGTGAAAAAGGCACAGAATCAGACAAACAAACAATTGAGTTTCTTATTGCTTCTAAAGTTACTTCGAGAAAGTGATGGAGTATTGTGGCTAAGTGGGCCAAGCTCTTCTCAAGAAAACTGAGCCATTTTATCACTGGTTGTTCAGACAAGAACAGTCCTCCTGGGCCGGCCAAATAGCTCAGTGGATTAAAGTGCCTGCAAGAAGGCACAGGGGCCGGGATTCGATCCCCAGGCCTGCCATGCCAGCCCCACCCCCAGGGTGCGATGAGACAGCAATTGAGACTGGGCGTGATGGCGCATGCCTGTAATCCCAGCTCTTGGGAGGCTGCAAACAGGAGAATCACTATGAGTCTGATCTAGTAGTAGGGCCCTGAATACCCTGTAGCCCC